CTTTGTTAGAGTTAAAATTGTCACACCATAAACTTGCTCAGTGTTGTGTTCATCCTACCACTGCTCCTCTGAATCCCAAGTGCTTTTGCCTTCTTCTAGTGGAAGGAGAGTTTGGAGGCTTTGTGCTGACTCCTGAGGGCTTTGAAGGGACGGTTTCAGTACTGATCACGGGGATCCCATCCTCCTCGGTCTTGGTGTGCCTGGAAGTTCTTTCTGTAGATTTCTCTCAAGATGATCTGCTTATGCTTTTTCTTTTCAGTGGTTCAGAATTATACAGTTCTTTTGATAGTATTTGTTATTTCTAGAAATAGTTTTACGTGGTTCACAAGGTTGCACTCCAATAGTGACCATTATTGGCCTTTGATTTGTTTTTACAGACTGAGACCTCTGTTATTTGGTGTCTGCATTCTTCCATGCTGCCTTTTATTCTGATCATAAATTGTTCAATCCCTACAGAATAACTGTTTGTTGCTGTTATAACCTAAAGCAAGTCAGACGTAGACGATAGTTATTACACTGCTAGACAGCTGCTATCACAACTATAGTCAGCTCAGGCCAAGGAAATGCTGAGAATCCGCACTCTCACTTCAGCACAAAGCCTGTGGACTTTCACTAGTAATGGCAAAAATCATATCTCCAGGGCTACACAATTTAGCTTCTACCAAATTAAAGACGTACGTGGAAGTGCAACCTGAGCCCTGCGCTACCCCCTGACCTGGCTGAGCACAGGGTGCTGGAGGTGCAGGTTGCCGTTTTGGGGCTGAACCTGGAAATGGTGTAGCTGAGGGATCTTAAGGACAGCAGTTACGTTCTTCGCCATGCTGCTGGTCTGACACTGGCACTTTTGTTCTGCTCACAGGAAGACTGTGCCTTATCTCCAGACCTGAGCACTGGTCTGTCAATAGAGGAGCGTACCTTGTAAGTCCTAGTAATGGGTGTCTGGTTGTAGGGAGAGGATAAAGATGCTTCAGAGGAAGAAATAAAAACTAAATTTCCCATTCTTCATAGGTTTACCCTTTGTCTACTGGTTGTTGGAATGAGAGCGCACATTAGAGAAGAAAATGCGATTCCTGATCTGTTCCCAGCTGTCATTATTTATCTCTGGCTTATTTGTTTCTCTCCTTTTCTCTCTCACAAGTATATCCGTTTGTCATGCGACACGGACTCCGAAACACTCTATGATCTCATGACCCAGCATTGGCACCTGAAAACCCCTAACCTCGTCATCTCTGTCACTGGGGGTGCAAAGAACTTTGCACTCAAGCCTCGGATGCGCAAGATATTCAGCAGGCTGATCTACATTGCCCAGTCCAAAGGTAGAGACCTGCAAACGTGTCTGTATTATTTTATTGCTGCGTAATACTGTTGGAGAGGTAGCAGCTCAAAGGGTCAGCAGGGAAGCAGAGCAGTCGGTTCGTTTCTGCTTGGGGCAAATGTGACCTGACAGTTTGGAAGGAACAAGTTTGAGAGCTAGTCATCAGGATGTCCCTGATAACATAAGGTAAGCTGTGGAGCATATAGTTTGTGTTTAATTGAAGAATACGTGTCTCTTCTGAGGTGATGCCCTGAGAGGGGATTGGGTGGTTGTATCTTAAAGGTAATGCATTAGGAGGGTGGGTGTTCCACTACGTTCTCCCAGGTTATTGCACGTTGTCCCCAGGGGCCTGGATTTTCACAGGAGGCACGCATTACGGGCTGATGAAGTACATCGGGGAAGTGGTCAGAGACAACACCATCAGTCGGACCTCAGAAGAGAACGTGGTGGCTATTGGCATAGCGGCCTGGGGCATGATTTCCAACCGAGAAAGTCTGGTTCGCAGCGGAGATAATGACGTAAGAAACATGTACGGCCTGGTGGGGAAACAAAGAGGAGGCTCAGATGATGTCCCTGACTGGCCGCTGCCCTCAGTAAGAACAGTATCTGTGCTAGGCTGATGGCATCAGCCATATGATGACTGACTTGAGCGGTCAGTCAAGCTCTGCTCGTACGTTCCTGTAAAGCAGAGGTCAGCAGAATGCTTTCCAGTGAAATGTTTGTGTAGAAGTACATCTGTCTGCTTAGCCTGATCTACTGTGTCCTAAACAATTTGCTGTGGGACCAGCTTTTTCTCAGTGTGCATAGCAGTGAGATGAAACATCAGGTGCTCTTCCCAGAACAGGAGGAAACTAAAGTTGTCTTATGTTCGAGATGGTCGCACATATCAGGCCTGGTAGGAGGACCAGCATGTGTTTTCAGCTGTGGGCTTAGTGTGTCTGTGTGGAAGTTCAGCTGCTCTAATTTCATATCTGGCAGACTGTTAGGAATAACCTCTTCTGTGGTTATTCTAGCTGCTGCGAAATCCCTACACAGTAGCCCACAGTGGAGATTCCCATGAGTTAGGACACATTGTACCTGCTGCTGCTGTAATGGATTTTGCTTATCAATACTACTGCCCTATCCGTCAGATATCTATCTGTACTGTCTCGTCTTTTGTCCACTAGATGTTACAGAACATGTCTAAACCCCATCCTGCTACATAAAGAAAACCAGTTTAGTTTACCGAGGGCTCTAAGGAGGTTTGAATGTTGAACTGGGTGATCTCAAGAGGTCCCTTCCAACCTAAA